ACGGATTACAAAATATACAGTTTGGAGAAGCATTTATTTCTGTTTCCGCGTGTTTCTTATTTACCTTTGATCTTTACTACTCCGAATGAAAACAGGCAACAAATGGCGGTATTTGATGCCAGTAGCAAAAAAACAAAAAAATCTGAAGAAACATTTGGCAGCAACCAAAAACTATTTCATAGAAATGAAAATTCATAGAAATTTCATAGAAAATTCTAGATACATAGAATATTAACAAGTTCCTTGTAATTTCTTCAATGAAGATAAATCTTAACAATGTATACATACTCGACGACAAAATCGCACAACACTGAAACTCATAGCAATCTGACTATACGTTCAGTCTTTTTTTCAGATCGTTTGAAAGGTAAACAATACTGTAATATAAAACGATATGTATTATTTTATATATCACACAATCTAATTACTTTTAATGAATATATATTTGTATATAAACCTTAATAAAACCTGTAACTACCACAAAACTAACTCCTGTTTCTTGTTTTAGACACATACAACCGTTTCACGAGTTAACGATATTATGACAAAGAGTTAAATTGATCGACTAATTTAAATATCCACAAAGATTGTGCTTATTATACGTTCATAATAAGTGTAATTAAAACAATGGCAATGGTAAAATTGACAAGAAAACGGTATTATAAACGAATAACTTACGTATTGGGATTATGTATTATGAAGTAATAATTTAAGCGTAATTATTGAGATGGAAATCGGAGAAGTGGAATTTTTGCGAAATTGCTTGTCTCAAATTGCTATGCTTCATTTCGTGTAATAACCAATGTCGTTATAAAATCTTTCTCACTATTGTCATCAACCTAAAACCTGCTGAGAATGAACTTAATAAATCACATTAACTTTTTTTAGAAATACGAAAACCTTTTCTACCTTTCCAGGGTCGAAGACACTTTTATTATATTCGTTTTATGCCAAAATAATGTAACGTTTTTGTATAAAGGAAGTTTCGATTACTTTTACGTAATTATTTATTTATATATCTCTAGTAGATATATATGTATATAGGTGTATATACATATATACGCAATATTGTTCTATTACAAATATCACTCTTCTGTTTTATTTCACTGACTAACAAAAACGCTCAAGTCATCGCTTGAAAATTCTCTTACAGTGATCGAATTATTGGTAAATATCTTTTTCAGAACAGTAAAAAATTCACCACATTGCTACCGTTTCCACCATCAAATCCGAATTCGAAGCTACTACTAATTATATAGTTAGATGAAACATTTGTGTATTAATTTTTTTTATACAACAAATAATATGATCAAATAATAATTAAAGAGTTTATTAAAATAATCGTCGAAATAATCAGTTTTTCGCGACATGAGCCTTGTTTACCAGTCTTTCAGTGAAACGATGCCACGTGGTCAGAACGTGCGCGTTGTTATCCGCCGCGGTTTAGAAAGTCTTCGTCAGGGATCAGCCGATGAACGCTCGTCCATTTCACAACGAATCATTGGGTGAAAAGGTGCGCCCATATTTATTATTATATTATGTATACCTTTTACGTATATGTCTAGGTCAATTTAAAAAGTTGATAGTAAAAATGCATTTTGTTATATACAACTGAATTAAATAAAATTGAATTAAATAAAGAGGATTGTCTTCTTTCATCCTTTCCTTTCTTAATTAAGCCGTTCTTTGAGGCAAAATATACAGTTAAATACTTTCAATGTATTCTTATATTTTCTTTTTGTTATCTAGATCGTATACACATGTCACCGTCTACGATTAACTGAAAAGAATATTAATAAGAATCTTAACGACCTTCCATAATCTCGAATTAAATAAGATCGAAATTTGTTTGCGCGTATTCGTGATATTTTTTTAAAAATAAATTTGTAATCTACCTCTTTCGTTTTTCTCTTTCTCGAGTCTACGTTTGTGCCTCTTAAGCCTTATCCATACTGAAGCAACAGCGAGGGAATTTTTATTAATATTCAATGTATTTTTAAAAAGTCGCCGTTTATTATCGAATATTTTTCCAAGTTTTTATACCTAGTAACAAATGTCACCATTTATTGTCTATTTCCATCCAGCAGTGAATATCAAAGAAAAATGTCTATATAATATAGTCCTGAAACTGAAACAAAGCACGAATGTTCCTCAGATTATGTTGTTTGATGTGAACAAGATGTTTCTGTAAGTCGCTGTTTGTTGAAAATATTTTAAAACATGTAGCAACAAGAGATGACAAATTTCTTATCGTTACTTCAGTGGAAACAAGGCTTTGTGAAATCGAAATGCGAATCGATGTTATCTTGTTAAATTCATATTCCTAGATATTGCCCTTTTACGTATTGAAATATGAAACTCTATCCCAAGTGACATGCACTTTCGTTTTTACGTGCACGAACTAGTCGAATTGTTTTTATGAATGAAGCACATGTGCCCATGCCCATAGATGGTAGGAATCTTGTATTGTTACCTCCTCTCTTACGTTTCTATTATGCGTATGGTAATATTTTCGTGTTTAAGATTTTTAAAAGTTCGCGTATCATGCTCAATAAATAGATAGGGAGATAGAGAGAGAGAGAGAGAGAGAGAAAGAGAGAGAGAGAGGAGAGAAGGGAAAAAAAGGGTAAAAGGAGAGAAGTATTTTCAAGAAAGTAGTATAGGTGATGTAGAGAGTACGTATAAGGAAAGGGTCGAAGTTCAGAAAAAAAAAAAAAAAAAGAAAAAAGGGACAAAAGGATGAAGAGAAGGAAACATACTGGTAATGTTCCTGGTAAAGAAAGAGAGAGAGGAGAGAGGAAAAGAGTATATAATATATAATAGATAATAAGAATATGTACGTCCAATAGAATCTGAATTTCGTAATTTTAGTTTAATTTCGATAACGAAGAAATATCTCTTTCGATAGATATATCGAAGCGCGAAGAACATCAATTATATCGGAAAACGTAAGTTAGATTATTCGCCAATACTCTCTATGTTTATGCATCATTTCCATGATACATCAAATCAGGAGATTCGATTTTTTGAAAGAGGGAAGAGGAATTTTAAAAATACGGTTTCAAAAGAAAAATCATTTTTTCCTTACGAGTAGCGATTGATACCATTACACAATGCCGCCCATTTGAATTCCTTCGCAATGTGTCATGATAGAAAAACTATGTAAATACATACGATATATGCATGTAAATACTTACGTATATGTCGCTTAGAAAGGAGCCGCTGAACTTTCCTCTGCTTGCATGCGAGCATGCGCGTATCTCTTTGTAACGGCCGATATTATCGAGATTAACGACTAAAGATCAAAATTACTTTGATTTAAAATATTACGAAAAATTTTAATCGCGTTAATACTTGACAAAATTTGTTTCATTTGAGGAACACTAAACCATTAAACCATTAAACCATTAAACTGTATTCGTATTAGCATTTTGATACTTTTTATTGTAAAATTTAATAAAATCAAGAAAATCTCCGAATAATTGTTTTTCTAATTCACTAATGAATGCTTCACTAATGATAGCTTCAATTATTGATACGCTAAATTATCGAGAGAGCCATAAAATAATCATTAAGAATATTTTGTCAAAAAAAAAGTTACAGTATAATGTAGTCGTCAAATGTGAGATTCCATTCGTGCTTCTTTTTCCTATTCTTCTTACATAACAATTAAACAATTGAAACTCTTGTAAATGTATATGTATAAGGTGAAATGTTAAGGCTGTTGGTTGCATGCTGTGAACAAAAACCTGAATTTCTTATTTCATGTATACGTATATATTTGGTGATATATATTTAGTATATATATTTGATAACTTGAGAAGCATAAGAAACAAAAAATTGGCATTATATGATTTTGTATCAAATAAATTTGTAAAAAATTTTTTTTGATATATATATATGTATTTATGATATTGTATATATCATAATGTATTATATGTATATATACTATTATGTATATATATATTATATATATATATATACAATATGTATATATATATATATACACGCACACATAGCATATCTAGAGATGAATGAAAAACGAAAGAGATGAATCGCAGAGAAATGGACGTACACATATACCGATAGTTCAGGATATAAATATATAATAAAGTTATTATAAAAAATATAAAGTAAAGAAAAGTAGTTTATTTATGACAGTTCTAAACATATCGATGGAAACGTTACGCATGAAACATAATTTTAACAAAAATATCATTTTTTCTTAGATATCTCACTTATATATTAAAGTTCACGTCATATTAATATAATTGTATTATAGTCTGAAAAATAAAAACTAAACACATTCAATTGAAAACAAAAAAACATGGAACATATGTTAAGAGTCTTGACTAAGGATTTTAAAAATTCTGTGATTTCAATTAAATTCCAATCTTTAACGATAAAAAGTAAAATATAATCGATTAATGTAAAAACATCGATTAAATTCAAAGTAATCTTCATTATAATTATCGTTTTCTTGTGTCACGATGAATAGACTAAAGACATGGTACTTATGTGAATGCGAAGGATTCTACGGTATTTTTAATTCAAATTGAGAATTACGTTCTTCATGCCCAGAATAAAATGTTATAAATGTGAACGTGTCATGCCGTGTTTTCTCTCCTTGAAGGGAGAGGAGACGATAGGAAATGTCATTTACGAACGCTCGGAATTTATGCAAAGAGACAAATATACCTTCGAGAAATCTATTATTTTTAACGGCACAGTTCCAAATAAACTATTGATGCTCAAAACAATACATTACATTCACATCATACAGTAAGTATCTCAAAGCATTTCAACGTAAACGATTTTTTCTTTGGTACGGCAAAAAAAAAACAGAAAAATGGCAAAAGTACAGAAGAACGGTTAATACGTCGAGAAAATATCAAAATTTCTCGGATTTCCTTTCACGTTCGAAGAAAGCAACGCGTGTGTCGTATCGACAGTGAATCCGGAAAATCTCGAAGATGAAAAATCAACAAAACTTTACTCACGTTTTAAAAGGTGTAATTCCTTTTCTCTCTGCAAGAATTTGCCTATTTCGATTCTTCGTCTCTTTCTCGTCGATCTTCGTCGTAATAAAACCAAGTAAGCCGTTCTCGCAAAAAGATCTAACAGGAGAAAGAAAAGCTTTGTTCGAGGGCTCGACAAAAAAACCTTGTCAATGACGTTTCAAATCTCAGTTTTTTTCGGTCTCAAAATTTTTATAGTTTGTATCGCTTTTCTTTCAGAAGACAGAGAAAGTACGATTTTCTCTTGTTTCACGCACGCGAATACCTCAAACACCAATAACGCGCAATAAATTCAAAATTAATTTCGTGAATATCTAAATTTCGCGTGTCTTGTACCCTAAGAAATTTGCGAAAACGTAACGCGTGCACGCGCATACGCAAAATAACAAGAAAGAGCAAAAGAAAACGAGAAAAAGAGAGAATATCTATAAAATGTGCAACAGTTTAAAAAACGAAAAAATAGAAAAAACCACTCGGCCGAAAAAACCAAACTACGTCCGAACAGTTCGGGGATTCGAAGACAACTGAACCTGCCAGCGGACTTTGGAATCGGTGAGCGGATTCGGTTCGCCGACTCGAGTTTGTCGTTCTCCTTCTAACCTCTCTCCCTCTCTTTCTAACAATACATGCATATACCACATATGCCATACACGCACACACCTTCCTTTTCTTTCCTTCCATTTTTCTCGCTATTTCTCTTTTTATACATCGCACGAGCTCGCTGTTCGTCATCCGTGGACATTCAGTTTTGCTGCCAGGTAGTAGTACTACACTGTCTTTCCCTCCAACCGCTTTCTATGTCACTGGCCGTGCACTCTATTGCGCGCGCGCATACACACATAAACATTTACTATGCTATAAATTATCGAATACTTCTTCCTGCACAGATCTATACATCTTATTTATTTTAAATTATTTTACATATTTAAGCATGCTTTTAGAGGGACTATTGAACTTAAAAGAACAACCAATCATATATATATGCGAATATTTTTTTCTTATATAAAAATAATGTTTTCTTGGGATATTGTAATTACAAAAAATTACTATCATTACAACTTAAATATTACGTTGCAATTAAAGTAACACGTAGCGCTATAACGAATTTGTGCATATTTCGTAAAACAGATTAAAAAACAATAATAATATAGAGCTTGAAAAAGACGGAGAACATTAAAACAATGCAGGAAAATATCAATACGTCTTAACAACAAAATCAATCGTACAATATGCAGTATATGTTCTATGTTTTTATTTGAGTTTCTTTCGAATATCGAAATTAAAATAGAAATTGAAACAGTAAAACTAATTTGAAATTTATTCTAAATAAGATATTTTTGCAAAAGTCTAATCGATGATTTCATTCTTATACTAACCTTAACAATCATCCGAAAGTCTTGTCACGATGACCCGCACCCACAATTAGAGAAATCATTGTAAATCATGGACGTATTGAAAACTTTCCGCTAATGATTCGTTAAGAGTTATAACGTCAAGAACGTAACGAATTTTGAATCACAATAAAAGATGAAAAATTAACGACAATAATTAACGACAATAACTAGAAGACTACTCTAATAGTGTAATAAGAGAAGAATTCATAGAATAAAATGTCGCATAGTGAAAATTGTAATTCTATATAGTAGTAAAAACTTGATTCTTGAAGTATGTAAATATGAATAAAAACAGATATTTTCGAGAATAATATTTTTGAGAGTAAACGAAACCTCATGAAAGATAGACATTTGATGGCCTTCATTCAAGGTTTCTTAAACGATGACAAGAATGAAACGCGTCGTCGAAGACTTCGTCATCATTATTATTATATAGAAAACACTTGTTAATTATCGACAGTCCTATAGGTATAGATAAATTAATTCAATATAAATTTGACTTCGAGTTTATAACGTCAACACTTTGCAATGAATTTAACAAAGAAGAATTATTATGATCATGAGTAACGTTACCTTTTCATCATATTAACTATTTTCGAACGATTATAATTCCATGTATTGTACTTTAATACAAAAAAGTTATGAAAAATTGCGAAGACAAGAGAGATTTCTCACCCGACAATAAGATATTGTCATTGTGCCATTCAATAGAATACATGAATTCATACTCAAATTCTAAGAGAAAAACATTATTAAGAACATTTTATGATAAAAATCATTACAACTTCTTGATTAAACAAAAAATGGGACTGACAAAAATCGTAGGTTTAAGAAAAATTATAACATGAATTGACTGAAAATTTAAAGCCAATGTAGAATTTTATTAATTTTATCCACGTTACAATATTTATTATCTTTCGGAAGAAAAAATAAAGTGTTTTATTTCACATTGATTATACTAAAGATTCGTCATGTGTATTAGAACGATTGTGAATATATAAAAGAATTGTGTATACAGAAGTGTAACATACGTCAAAAACCAAACGAGTTATCTTCATTCGGTTTCGAATGTTTGAACATATTATCTTAATGTATTTTCTTCTTGGTTTTGTCTTCTATCTCATTTGTATTAATATGTTTTACGCAGTACCCGTGTCAAGATAACTACTTTATATAAAGCCATATTCCTAAAATTTCTTATTTAAATATGATTACAATTATTAACACATTTTTGATTTATAAAACATTTCTAATTCAGAGGATTTTTATGAACAGAGAATATTTACAGACTTGATCATGATTTCATTTTAAGGACAGTTTAATTAATTCATGCTAATTTATATTAATATAGATTAGTATAGACAGACAATACTAATATAATGATACTAATCACTAATATAGACAATTTATAGAAATTGCAAATTTATAAAATTCCTTTAACTAATAAATAATGACATATATGTTTACTTCTGACAACTTGAAATATTGCCAGAGAAATATTCACAAAAGAATCATATAAAATAGTACTATCCAACTATATTCCATGCTTTTTGACAAGATAACAAGATAAAGTAACGATACGATGAATATTTTAATAAAGTCTACGACTCTTCTTAATGGTGTGGCTGCTCGCGCCATTTTGATGGCGAACACGTCCCCCCGAAGTCAATGAAAAGTTACCGCAGCTGTGTGGAAAATATATTATCGCAGAAGGACAATAGTTGATTATCCGATTATGCAAGAACACTGTGTATTGGTATTTATAGTAATTTATAAAGTAATCGTGAATGCCAGGAGCATCGGCAAAACCAAATCGTTTCGCAAAGATACCAGAAGACGTGACATTACGACTTGTCGCAAGAACTCTTATTTTCTTCAAATTTCTACTAGCATTTCAATGCTTACAAATAAATATTGTGATTCTTCTCATTTATCCTTACCAAAAGAAATATATAATATATCATATAGATATGTTAAAGATTTACCGATAAAGTGGTTTATTTTCTATTGTTTAAACAATCATATCTTCGATCAAAATATTTGGAAGAGAAAGAATTGTGAATGAAAAAAAAAAAACATTCTCTTGAAATACGTTTTGTTGCAAAATATAATCTTTGTAATTTTATATTCTTCTTTTTTTCATCAGAAAACTAATCAGTATAACACATCTGTAGTCGCAAAGGAAAGAGAGAACTTGCTCTCGATAAGAATGAATCTGAAAACTCTTTGAATCTATAAATTTGTAAGCTAAATTGTACAATCTTAAGTCAGGCCAATTAACTACTTATAACTTAATTTTTTGCTTTTCTGTTAGGTATAATCATTAGCAAGATAATAGCTTAACAGCTAATCATACTTTCTTTTGCAAGGCATGATTTAAAAAAAAAAACTTGTCAGAAGGTGAAAAAGAATTCTTCTCCCAACGGAGGAAAATTTTTCCCAGCATTAAGATATGAGATATCGGACGAATAGATGTAGCGTCAAATATTTAACTGCGTAAGGTATTTGTCACTTTTACGATATTACGTAAGATCATTGGTGTCCTTATAATCCGAGGAACCATGGCCTACTTCGAGGTATTTACACCTTAACCGTGACAAAATCCACCGATCAATAATTCGCAATACGATTGGCCAAATTTCTTATATGCATCGTTAATTTATTATTACACATTTCTACAAGAAAAAATGGGTAATATAAAATAAAAGTTTTATTTTTTTTTAGGCACAACCGTAAAGAGTTCTTTATTATTATTTTGAATTTATTTTAAATTTCATTTGATTATTATACATTCTCAAAAGATTAAAGTAAAGAAATAAGTTAACATTTTCTCTCAACATATAATTCGACAGCCTTTAGAAGCTTCGTATAGTTTATTCTTTTACAATTGTATACATTATAATATATTCCTAAACATATCATTATAAACATATCTAAAATTAGCTACTGTTATATATAGACAAGTACTTACATATTTTCCATTGCCATGACCACTTTTATTACTTGACTTAAATTCGACCATAAATTAACATTCTTCTATATATTTTTAGTTAAAATTTTTGGTTAAATACATACATATGTCTAAAATTTCAAATAGTTTGTTAATGCTCTTGATTTTAACATTAAATATAAGCCTTAAAATGTCTATGTAAATTTACTGCAATATTAGCAACAATTTAAAATAAAAATAAAATAAAAAATAGCGAAAAATAATATATATTGAGAAGTGCTACGTTGACATTATCAATGTTTTTTTGTCATGTTATTCACTTCATTTGTAAAATTACTATTTACCATGACAGCAATATTGTCAAATATAGTACTATATTATTTAGCGGAAAAATCAGAAACTATAAAATCGATAATAAATTATGCTATACAGCGATAGATGGCACGATTTCTCATTGTGGCGACCTTGTCGCGACTGTTACGCCTCCTCAGGTAAAACACATAACTAACACGCCTTGGCGCCACTAAACTCACACGCGGGAAACCAAGCAAACAAAATAAAAGACAACAAAAGACCCCAAAAACAAAGGAGACGAAAAAGATGACGGGAACACAAAAAATATTATATATTCGTTCTTCGACTCTTCTTGAGACCACAGCCATAGATGCTGGAAGTCATACTCTGATTATATCTATTGTATATCGAACAAAGCTAAATAAACATATCACTATTATTATTTGATGTGCAAAGTTTCTTTCTACATAGTGGGTTATCAACGATAAACACACATCATGTAGCTAGGGTAATATTAAGTAACATCTGTTGCCATTTAGCATGCCATTTCATCCAATCAATTCTCGTGGTTATGGTCCTTAACTAGGCGAGAAATACTTTAGTTTTTTGTCTCTTGAGTTGTTATTCATTTTTAAAAAAAGGAAAAAAATTATCAAGTACCAATCATCTTTGAGTGAGTATAATTGCCTATGTTCGGTGCTGTGTCAGCTTGCATGAGGAAATGAAAACCACCTTATATATGATAAGCTTTGTATACAATTTTACCAATAGAGAGCGCGATGGTAATGGCAACGACACATTTCTTTTGACAACAGGAATATGTATATTATTTCTCATAAATTTGATATGTCCTATGATAATATTCATACATTTCAAACATAATAAGTCAATTGAATACTACCAAAATACGT